TGTGTGTGTGTGTGTGTGTGTGTGTGTGTGTGTGTGTGTGTGTTGGGGGTGGGGATGATGACCAGAAAATGAGTGCTGGGTCAGAGGTCTGTCTGGTCTGAGTCAGAACATGCTTTTTATATTCTTCTTGTTAATGGGGTTAGGAAAAGTTTCCTGGCTAGAATGAAAATGTGAACCAAATAGCTGTATTTTAAAAAGCACACTATCCATATATATAGTCTATGCTTTGATTTTTTTTTTTTTAAATGGTCAGCTCTCTGGTCAAATATAGGAGTCACTGTTTGTATTAATGCATGGTTTTGCCATATTCACCCAGAGGCAGTTTTACTAGGGCACATAATCATTTTGTATTGATGGTGTCCAAGATGATTATCTTTTCACATTTCACCAGCAGTTTTGTAAACCACGAAAAACGTAGTCAAGGTTAAGTGTGACTGTTGAATGCAGTAGTTGACGGGGGCAGTTTGTTACTTCCTGAATTCTTCATGGACTTAACCTCTGTTTTTGTATGTAGCTGTGTATACGAGGGGTGTGTGTGTGTGTGTGTGTGTGTGTGTGTGTGTGTGTGTGTGAGTCTGTGTGTATTTGTATATGTAAACATGGCTGTGCTGGTGTCATGCCTTATGTGTCGCGGTCAGAGGACAGTCTCTGGTGTCAGTCCTCAGTTCCTTGTTTGAGACAGTCTCTGTTGCTGTTCCAGTGTGTTGGGCATGCCAGCTGGTCCATGACCTCCTGAACAGTCTCTGAAGCTGGAGTTACAGATGCCTGTCTGTGCTGTGTGTGTGTGTGTGTGTGTGTGTGTGTGTGTGTGTGGCTGTAATGTGGGCTCTGAGGATTTGAACTTTTCACACTCAAATGGCAAGAATTTTGATGCACTGAGCCGTCTCCCGAGCCTGAGCTCAGACTCTGATACTTGTTAAATGAGCATTTTACATACCTTTCTAAAACGAATTCTCATGCTATTTTCCCACCTTATTCTCATTTTCTTGGGGAAAACGTTGGTACTTTTTGTTAAGTGTTTTGTAAGTAGTTTTACAATTTTTGTAATTTTATCTCTTGACTTTGTTTCTGTTTGTTTGTTTGTCTTTTTAGGCAGGGTTGCTCTGTAGCCCTGCCTGTCCTGGAACTCCCAGTGTAGACCAGGCTGTCCTCGAACTCACGGAGATCCGCCTGCCTCTGCCTCCCGAGTGCAGGGATTAAAGGCGTGCGCCACCACACCTGGTACTCTTGACTTTGTTAATGTATTCTGTGACACAGAATGCAGACTTATGACTGATATCTTTTGCTCTCTACAGTTTAAAAAATGTATTTTTATTTTATGTGTGTGAGTCTTTTGCCTGCAAATATATCTCGGCACCACTTGTATGCCTGTTGCCTGTGGAGGACAGAAATGGGCTTTTTTTTCCTACTGGAAGTTACAGATGGTTGCTAGATGCCATGTAGACACTGGAATTGAACCTGGTTCCTCTGCAGAAGAGACAAGTGCTCTTGATCACCGAGCCAACTCTCCAGTCTCTGGAAGGATCCTTTTTTCTTCCTGGAGGATGCCTTTGGCTCAACTTTGTCCCACTTCCTTAGGGTGATAGGTTAAAGTGTATCTCTGTTTCCATCCTCTGAGACTGTCCAGACGTGATGTCTGCTTGAGCAATGAACTGAACCCAGAGGTGTGGGAGTACTGGTTTCTCCTCCCCACATGAGCCATCTTAGGTTATCATATTCTGGTCTTTATTGTATGATATATACAAGAGAATTCCAGCAGGGACTGGGTAGAGACAAGGCTTCCATTCCCCAGTGAGATTGTGCATGTGTGTTTTATGCCTCGTCTGTAAAAGCACAGATTTTGAGCTCACATTTTTAACAGCTATAAAACAGTCTGTATTTTAAAGGTAGTGTTGTGTCATGATTGAAATGGGTTTCTTTTTCTTGGTATACAAATGGAATTACATCATATAATCTGGGGTGTCTGAGATCTGATAAAGTTTTTGTTGTTGTTTTATGTACAGGGCTAACGGTTACGACATTTGTGATGTAGTTCACAACTGTTACCAGAAGGGAGTTATATTCTTATGACAAAATGCAGTTGTGTTGCTGGGTCCGTAGGCTTCTTATGTGACTCAGTTTAATGACTTTTTACAGCCTGGAAGTTGGAGTGATTGAGTTGTGGCTCAGACCACACACAGAAGTACATTTCCCTGGCGTGCGGAGCCTGGACTGTAGACAGTGTTAGCCAGACCACTGGTAGCACATACTTACAATTTTTTTTTCTTTTGATCAGAATTATCAATATTTTGGAAACTGGGGCCTTTAGGTCCCTGGATATAATTTAAATAATTAGAAGTCTGTCCAGCGTTAGTAGTTGCTATCCTGGGAGCTTTGGTGTTAGAGCCTCATGGTGGTACGGTCCTTGGCTTCTCATCTGTCCTGTAGTATTTTCCCAGACCCTGATTGCTGAAGGGGAGTCATGGAACCCTAAGCTTTTTGGTGTGTGAACAGTTTCTGGGGAACAGTCACTAGCTGAGGGTTGAGGAACTTCTTTCTGGAAAACGTGTAGTTTGTATTTGTGGAATTCAGAGCACGGGGCAGAGTCTTGAGGACCCTACGGCATTCCGTGCATGACTTGAGGCAGCACTTGAGCGGATCCTTAAGGTTTCTCTGTCCGGCCTTTCTAGTTTGTTAGCGTCCTGAGTTTGGTTCGCAAACATCTTACTGTTGTAAATACCTCCTCGCCTCTTGGGAAGCCTGGTTACTGTTCTGATCATCCTTTGCCTTTTCCCTTTGCTATGAATGGCTGTCATATGGCTGGTTTTTGTGTGAGTGGTAATTCTTCCTCCCCCCTCAGGAGGACCATGTCACTGGAGTTTGGCAGTGTAGCCCTGCAGACACAGAATGAAGATGAAGAATTTGACAAAGAAGACTACGAGAGGGAAAAAGAGGTGAGTTCCCCGGAAGAAAGCTCCTGAGCCCAGTGCGCACCGACTCATCGTGTGTCATCTCGTGCCGTTTTGAAGGACCTATGATTCATTAAACTTCAACAAAACAGAGCTTATAACCTCATTAATACCGCACTTTTAAAGGATGGAGTGGGGGCTGGAAAGATGGATGCGTGGCATCTGGGGTCCTTCTTTCCCGCCCCATCATGCCTGTCATTCTGCAGTTGCACATTGTTATTGAAATGAGCCCTGTTTTGTTCGTTTTAACGCACAATTTTGCATCTTCTGGGAGCAGAGAATATCACATATCTTTTCATCCTGGGGTTAGACGATTTTCTCCAACCAGTCACTCCCTAGAGGGGTCTCGAGGGCATTACCAGAGCTTAAGGGCTCCTAGGTCATATGCTGTCGCTGCTGTCCCCACCACCTGGCCAGAGTACATCTGGCAACTCAGATTTCCTGTGGGCTGTCTGGTTGTCACGCCCCTGACTTCTGGTGAAGTGGGATCCTGACAGGCAGGTCTGCTCTGTGGAACCTGACGCCGTGAATGAGCACAGTGATTACGGGTTTGCTGTGCTTCCCAAAGAGGCTTTTCAGTTGTGATGTGTGCATATAAACCTGACACCCTTGTAGAAAATGTCAAGCCTGCTGGTAATCCTGGTGTCATGCTGTCCCCTTTCCTCAAGTGAAAATGTGAACACGATTCATGTGCAATTCAAGAAACTCATTAAGTGGACGAGTAAGGAATCTCTTTGTTCAGTCGCTCGTCGGCTTCAGGCAGCTTTGGGTAGTGTCTTGTGTTTCAATCAGCGTGATACTGATGGGACTCCCCTGACTCAGTTGCAGCAGCTACTCACAGACCTCCCTCTGGACATGCTGGATGATGACCTCTCCTCTCCTGAGCGCCATGATTCGGACTGCAGTGTGGACGGCCTAGTGGCAGAGTAAGGACCTGGGATCACTTCCTCCTGTTTATTGTACTCCATAAATCTTCCTTTGATCCTCTGCTGATAGGAATGTAAACTTGAGACTGCTTTCTAAAACTTTTGGGTTAAGGTTGAAGGAAAAACAACTACTAGAATCTTGGGCTTCTTTGTGTTAATTTTGGCTAAATATGATAGAGTGTAGATCTAAAGTACTGATTTTTCTCCAAGACTGCATCCTTCTGAGCAACTGGAGAGGAAGTGGATGGAGCGTGACTATGACGTACTGCCCAGATCTCACATCGTGAATGTAAGTGCGGGTGGTGACCACAGTGCTGTTGCGGGTAGGGTCGGCTCGTGCTTTTGCTTTACTTTTGTTGACTAATAGGACGGTACCGGACTTGTGTTTTGGAGAACAGTGTGGCAATGGCTGGGAAGAAAATCAAAGTAAAACTGAAGACCAGCATCTCGGGTACCATCCCGGAGAAGGCGGGGATGAGGGCGGAAGTGGCTATAGCCCTCCAAGTAGACCCGAGCCGGCAGATTTGTATCACCTTCCCGAAGACTTTAGGCCGTACACCGGTGGTCAGAAGCAGGAATTTCACAAGCAGGCAGCTGGAGTCATTACCTTTTCAGATCCTCAGAGGGACAAGTGTCAGGTACTGTGAGAATGTGACTTTGAAGAGTTTGTGTGTACGCATGTACTTACACTGGTAAAGTAATTACAACAGTTTTTTTGAATCGATTCACTCAGGTTCTAGCTCAGTTAGTTTTCTGTTTGTGATCAAATGCAGTTGCGATGCCAAGCCTGATGTTTACAATAGAAGCTTTTGGGGAATAGTTTTTTAAACGTTAAAGGTTAAGTCTCTCAAGGAGTGGCTCCTCATTGACCGCTTCTGTCTTCTGTGAGGTGCTTCCCTGAGAAACAAGCTGTTTTTAAAGGAGCGGTTTCATATAGATCACAGCATTTAATTTCCTTCATTTCCGTGTTCACCAGTTTTCTGATGAGTTCAAGTCCAGCACTTCAAATCCAGTTCCTGCTTTGTGTGGTGTTGCAGTGGTAGATGGGGTGACTGTTAAGGAAACACGCCATGAACTGAATGTGGGGAGTTCTAAGAAGGCATCAGGAGATAGTGTGTCTTAGAATTTCTCAATGACAAGAAGTGTCTCATTTTCTCAATTGCTATTCTGTATCATTCAATGACATGATGATTTTTTTGGGGCGGGCGGGGGGGGGTCCATTAAAAGATAGTTATTTTCTCTTTGTCTCTGGAGAATGTTGTTCATTGAAAAATAATTGAGAATTTATTGTACATGAGATGGTATCACATGTTCTCATTTATTGAGCATGTACATGTGTTATGTTCCCAAGACGGTGACATTATCTTAACCATTTGTGGTACAAATCTCATTGCCATTCTTAAATTTTATTTTTGAAATTGACTCTATTGTCTGCTCAAGAGGACTAGGAAGCAATTCGTAGTACTCAGTAACCGTGGGTACTAGTTTTGAGCACATATGTCTATGAATATTTGATTATGGGCTGGGGATGTTGTAGGTCAGTTGGTAGAATGCTTGCCTAGCATGCGTGGGGTTCTGGGTTCAATCCCCGGTATTGCATAAACCAGGCATGGCGGTGCACATCTGTAATTCCAGCACTTGGAAAGTGGAGGGAGGTGTCTAGTAAGGTAATTTTGGAAGAAAAGACCAAATCTTAATTGTTAATCTTATTTGTCATCTTTTAATAGCAATTTGTTTAATCTCAGGGACCCAGCTGCCAAGCTTTGGAGCCATATAAAGCAGTCTATAAACCTTACCAATCTTCTGGCCAGAGCGGTAGCTCACCAGCCCAGGAGATGGCAGCAAGTGACATGTTTGAAGGCCTGCAGCAACAATTTTTAGGAGCTAATGAAAGTAGGTATTCTGTTTGTTTATTTATTTGACTGTTTTTGTTTTATTTTCAGCTAGGGCCTTGCTGTGTTGCCCAAGCTGGCCTCACACCCATGATAATCCCTCTGCTTAGAGATGTGTTACTACAGCCAGCTGTATTATTTTTCATTGACATAATCGGGGAATTTTGAACACTTAATGAATATTTATATATATGTATTTAAGAATTAATATATATATTTTTTTAAAGATTTATTTATTTATTATGTATACAGAAGAGGGCGCCAGATCTCATTACAGATGGTTCTGAGCCACCATGTGGTTGCTGGGAATTGAACTCAGGACCTCTGGAAGAGCAGTCGGTGCTCTTAACTGCTGAGCCATCTCTCCAGCCCCAAGAATTAATATTTTTTAAGTAACAATAATAGAATTGTTGACATTTCAAACAAGCCCCATTTCCTTATATTAAAAGTATATACTGAGCTATTTATGAGCAAACTAATAAGCACTTCAATGTTTATTTCAAAATAATTTATTGAACTAGGGAGTAGTGGTTTACCTGTAATATGAGCTCTTAGGGGAGAGATAGGAGGATCTGGCATCAGTCAAGGCCAGCCTGAGTGCAAAGAGCATTCCAGACGGCCTGAGTACTTGGGGCATGTGTGGCATTTGTAAATTTGTAAGGCCCTTGTTTTCATTCCTGAACCTCACAAGAGCAAATGTTTGTAGGGAGCTGTTGGTGGGGTAAAGATAAAATAAAACAGCTGTGAATTAAATATTTCATTGCAATTCATTGTGCTATGCTCCCTAATGTAGCACTATTTGAAACTAAAATGTCAGATGAAAGTTTTCGCATTGAATCACACTGAACTTAAGTGTTTTCCTGTCTGCTTTGGAACATGATTACACTTATCCTACTAGTCTTGGGTTTCTTACTCTGTAGGCGGGTAATTAATAAATCAATTATGAATTTCTTAGTTTTTCTTTTCGTTTTATATGTTTTAATGTGATGATTGTACAAACCTGCTACTGTATTCAGAATTGATGTTGATACATTAGTTGCTCCCTGTCTTAGTCAGTGTTCTGTTGCTGTGAAGCGACATCATGACAAGGCAGCTCTTACGAAAGAAAGCATTTAACTGGGACTTGTTACAGTTTCAGAGGTTTAGTCCATTATCATCATTGCAGGGAGCATGGCGGCATGCGTGCTGGTGTGCATGCTGGCGCTGGAGCAGTAGCCAAGAGCTACATCATGATCCGTAGGCAGAGGGAGACACACAGACAGACAGACAGACAGACAGACTTTGGACTTGGCATGGGCTTTTGAAGCCTCCAGGCCCACCCCCAGTGACATACTTCCTCCAACAAGGGCACCCCTCCTAATCCTTTTCATCCTTTTAAACTGTTACTCCCTGGTGACTGACCATTCAAATACAGGAGTCTGTGGGGACCCTTTAATTCAAACCACCACACTTCCTAGGCTTTTTGATTTTTGATGTAGAGTGTGTATAAATATGATCATAAGGGGCTGGAGAGATGGCTCAGAGGTTAAGAGCACTG